GTACTTTACTTGAGTATTATTTTTTCTGGGAACTTATGACTTTAACTTCACTACATTTGAAAGACAAATATTGTACATTTCACTCCACTACATTTCTATGAAGGTCCTCCAAGTAGAAAGTCGTTACTATGTAGCAGCTTTGAAAGTCAGTATGTGTTTTTTTTCTTCTCTACAATGTGACTTTCTTTTTTTCAGACAGTTGATCAGTAATCACTCTTGTAGAGCTACGTGAAGTGATTTCCCAGCATTTTTTGGACACTGACCAGCTGCAAATGTAATATTTATTTACAGCAATTCAGTAATAAGAAGTTAATATTGTGGTATATGCTAGACACAATATTGTCTGATTTTGCAAAAGTGTGTAAATGAAAATATTACCCATTAAGCGACAGAAGAACTGTTGTACATCTTCTAACAAAAACAATAGGTGTTTGACCGTTCTGTGTATGACATCAAAGTATCGTGAGAGCGATTAGAGAGCATTTTTGAAGTTTTTAAGTCAAAAAAAAAAAAAAAACTTGCTGTTTTGTTAAAGCAGTGTTGCTGCTGTAAAGTTACACAGCTACAGTTGTGTTGTTGGGTTTTAAATCAGGTTTGATTTTTTTTTTCTTATCAGTCTGTATTTACAGCAATTTCACTGTCCACTTGGTTCAAATGTGGATGAACACTGCCAGAGGTGTTAAATATTTTTTTTTGGCCAACTCGTGTTTCGTTTCTATAGGTTTTTAACATTCTAAAAGCTCTTCATTCCAAAGATTCTACAAGCTAGTCAGTCTATTCAGTAGGCATAATGTATTGTAAGCTGCTTCAGAGGCATAAGGTATTGCAAGTATTACATACAAAAATAATAAAACAGTGCATTGACAAAAAAAAAAAGAAATTTACTTTTAGTAGTGAAGTACTTTTAAAAGCAAGTACTTCTGTATTTTTACTTAAGTAAAAATCTGTCTTTGTAACTTTTACTTGTAATGGAGTAATATTTGAGCAGCAGTATCTATACTTTCACTCAAGTAATAGAGTTGTGTACTTTGTCCACCTCATACATACATACATACATACATATATATATATGTATGATCATTTTATTTGCACTTGAATGAATAAAAGTCATTTTGCCTGAAAAAAGTTTTGATAATGAGAACCTACAGGGTGTGTAAATCTGAACCATGTATAATTACATTTCAATGATCAAATGATTTTTATTTTCTGGGCTCTATGAATAATTATTTTAGTGGAAATAAGCGAATTTCCCCCATTAAAGTATTTCACTCATTTTCATGACATCCATGGCCTAATTTGTATATGACCGCAGAAGAAGGAAGAAGAGTTGTTCTGTTGCATGAAACAGTGAGGAAATCATTGTTAAAGACTTTGATCCTAATAAATCCAGTCATGTGCAGTGTATAAAAGTTAATTTAAAAACATTCATTGACCATTACTCATGCTAGGAGTGGCTGATCAGCTGATTAAGCAAGGAGGAAATCTAACCAAAAATATTACACACACACATATATATCTTTTTTTTATATATATATATTGTCACTCGTTTCATATTTCTCAAGCTTTATAATTTTTTTTTATAATTGATCAAGCAAAAAGGAAGATTGTATTGAAGACAAAAAAGACAAAGTGTGTCTTACTGGCACAAATGACAAGTGTCAAATAAAAACACTGTTTTTGCAACACATTATAACCAATCTTAACCATAATGAAAAGTGTATTTGGCTGTACTTAGAGTAGATTTGACTCTCTTGTAGTGTGTGCTGTACCAGCAAGTAGATAAACACTTACAGAAAGTGGCTCAGGCAGCATGGCTTGGGTTTCAAATGCAAAACTGAATATATCAAATAACTGAAAACCAGCAGAAGAAAGCAGTTCAGCCTGTTAACATCACAAGAAATCTCACTAGTTTCTTCAGGTCATAGTTCATCTACATCTTGAATTGTGAATGTTGGAAATTAAATGGTATATATACTTAATAAAATTAAAAATTATAATAAAATAATCACATCGATGCATAAATGTATTTTTTTGTGGCATGTTATGTATTTTGAACTACTATGTTTATATTACTTAAAGAGATTTTAAGTCCATATGCAAATTAAGCAAACATGGCTATTATAATGCAATGTTATTGGATATAGCTATAACTACGCAGCCTAAAATACAGTATTTTAATAATGTTAATTTCTTATTTATATTAATATCGGTTATCAATATTTAAAGTCTAGGACATAACTTTTATTTTGAAACGTAAGCTTAGAACAAAATATAAATGGCTTTATTAGTTTATTTATCAATTAAGTAAAAAAAACCTTATATAAACTAAACTTACCTATATAAATCAGTACGAAATGAATAATCTATGTGTGATATTGATATTTATAATTCCGTAACTGCAGCGTACCGTCTCCCCTACGAATAATTAATGGTATCGTCCTCTTTGCCACTGCTTCCACTGCTTCTGAAATCATGATCGCAAACGGGAGCCGAGATGGTGTCAAGCCTTAGGACTGGGGCAGGTGGTCTCAAAACACACCGTCTCCCGTGAAAAGGTTGCAGTAATTTATCAGTAACGTGAAAAATCTGCATCAGTCAGGGATATTGTGGATATCTGTCTACACCGCTGGTAAGTTCTCGCCTCTTCCTTATGCTGTTTGAGCTCGGCATGAGCTTAATGTTTTATCACAGTGTATGAAATTCATTCATTATCGTTATTAAGGTGAAACACTGACACGAGGCTTCGAGGCTTTGCTGTAACGATCACTTGCACTGAAATTCATTCAAGATTAATAATGGTATAACGACATATCGGGAGAATGAACGCCCCTTTTTATTGACTAAAATTAAATAAGGATCATAACAAAATAATACAAAATATAAATAAACGCACTAATAAACGCAGATGTGAGGAATCAGGGGACGCGTGTGCAACCTTTATACATGTACATGGGCACGTACTGCTGTCAGATCAATTTCAGCTGTAACCCCAGGGCAACTTTAATATATTCACTGTAAAAACGGGGAAAATAAAAATGCTGGAGTAGACTTCTAGCAACTGGCTAACTGTTAGTTACCTTAGTATAGAAGAAAAAAGAAATTACTTTATATTTTAGGAGAACGTTTTATCATAATCATTATCTTACATATTACAAATATATATACACACACACACACACACACACATATATATATATATATATATATATGTTGTAATGTAACTGTACATAACATTTTGTAAACAAAATGAATTTTGCTCATTAAATATCCTAAAATACCAAAATACACACAAAGCAGCAGCAATAATAT